CAAGCATCATATATCCAGGTGATCTTGATACGCGGAAAAGTACTGGCACTAGTTGTCAAATAGAAATCCATTTTCTGATTAGAACAACTGAATATTTCCTGTAATATACTTTATTTCGATTCCATATTTTTGTCAGAGCTTTAGTTCGCATAACCAAACATAATTACGAACTTTCAACTAGTTTCATAAAGGGTAACAAAAGATATAATTTACTGAATACATCAAAATGGATTTCTATTCGGACAACCCTTTCTGAGCGCTGATTGGCTAAAATACGAACACGAGATCACCTGGATACAGGGCCGTAGAAGCCCCCCAATAATGTGCTAATAATCTATTTTTTTTCAAAATCATGCAGACCTTTATCATTTAATCCATGACAAACTGCAAAGAATGAAGATATTACCCATACTTTCCTGCAACTTATCCAATATATAGTTAATTAAATACGCCTTCGCCCATTTACTACTACTAAATTGTAAATTTCGGCATACCTAAAACGCTATTTTCTGACCATTAGAATTCTGTAAAATCTTCCCCAAAGTCCAGGAAATAGCATTTCAGAGACTCTAAATTTAAAAATTTTCTCTGGCCTTCGGCCCTCGCTTTCAGCCCCCCCCAATCAAATAGAGCTTCCTACCGCCATGATATATGCTCCTGCCGTAGTGTGGATTGGTGCATTGTGTAACCCAATACGTGCATTTGAATTGTGTTGCTGCAGAGCAGATGAATTTAAAAGTTTTGGGAAAAAAAATCCTGCATAGATGAATGAGTACATAAAAATATTGAGCACCAAAAATTCACACAACTTCCCCATCAGATATCTAATGTTCTACCCCTTACCACATATATCCTAGGGGCCAATTTTGTATATTTTTGTGTTATTTGCATCTCCAAAACTCCTACTTTTGTCCTACTTTTCTACACATTTTCCTACTTTATTCCTACTTTTCCTAAAATTCTAGTCCTACTTTTGTCCTACTTTTCTACACAAGGATGCCAGAAAGCCTGGAAACGAGAACAGCCCCGAGGATGTTTTCACACCCGGCAGAAAGGTGGTGCTCAACACGGAACCCGAAAGGCTTGTGTGTATTGTGACAAAGAAGAGCATCGGTCGTCGGAATGCAAATCGGTCACAACTGTTGGAGAACGCAGAAAAATCCTGGCAAGAAAGAAGCTTTGTTTCAATTGCACAGGTCCATCTCATCGAGCATCAGATTGCAGAAGTACCAGCACTTGCAAGAATTGTAAATGACGACACCACACATCAATTTGTGATGTTCCCAACGACCCACCAAAACCTGAAGCAGGACTGACAGCGAGTAAAGAAGGTGAACAGGGGATTATATATCCTATTGTGCTTATCGAGATAGACGGTGTTAAAACCCATGCACTGTTGGACACTGGGTCTGGCAGTTCGTACGCCTCTGCGAAACTGATAAGTGTACTGAAGAAGAAACCAAACAATGTGAAAACAAGAAGAATCGAAACGATGCTGGGTTCTACTACAACTAAAGTTGACACTTATATCACGGGCAATAGGACAGATGTAGTGTTGTTAAATAGAAAGTTAGAAATGGTATTGTACTTACTCATGTATTATAATTATGTTTAAAAGATCAGAATATGCATAACTTCTTATTTTGTTTCATAAATAGTTCTTTAATATTCGAAACAAATTCCATATCTGCTTCGTCTGCCATCGCCATGTTTACTCGTCCCAATCAACATGCTGCGCGGCATTGCCGCCCCTCCTGGCAAAATAATAAGCAAGCGAGAAAAATTAAGGAGAAAATAAGAGGGTAGGAACATCGTTGTCATAAGCTGGATGCAGTGACACTTCCATATATGGCACAAACGTATCCATAACTTCCATATATGGCACAAACGTATCCTCGACGCGTTTTATAACGTTTTATTTGACGTAGGGATGACGTAATGCTGCTTCCCGCCTATGACGATTTGAATTAGTCATGTGATACAAGATTGCGAAAGCCGATTCGCCCAGAACGATGACACCCCACGAAACGCCCACAATGTTCCTACCCTCTTATTTCTCCTTAATTTTTCTCACTTGCTTATTATTTTGCCAGGAGGGGCGGCAATGCCGTGCAGCATGTAGATTGGGACGAGTAAACATGGCGATGGCAGACGAAGCAGATATGGAATTTGTTTCGAATATTAAAGAACTATTTATGAAACAAAATAAGAAGTTATGAATATTCTGATCTTTTAAACATAATTATAATACATGAGTAAGTACAATACCATTTCTAACTTTCTATTTAACAACACTACACCTGTCCTATTGCCCGTGCTTATACAGCTAAACTGTCTTCTGTTGATGGGAAGTTTGTGAAGGAGATTGAGTTGTCGAAAGTCCATAAATCAGAAATCACGATAGTCAAGAACCCAAATTATGAAAGTCTACTTGCAAAGTACAATAATCTCAATGGAATCAAGATAGCAGACGGCGATGATAGAGAACAAATCCCAATCCATGTCGTACTAAGTGCCGGCGAGTATGCAGCAATCAAGACGTCAACGCCTCTACAATTATGTCGCCAGTCCAAGAGGATCAAAAGAGTCGAGTGTTTGTGACACAATCAACATTAACAGATTACGAACAGCTCTGTGCTTTAGACGTGCTAGGACTAGCAATGATCAGCAGGTGATGTATGAAGAGTTTAAAGAGCAGCTGGAAAGAAACGATGCTGGGTGGTACGAAACAAAATTGCCATGGAAGGGCAACCATCCTACATTACCATCGAATGAGAGAGGGAGCAAAAGACGATTAGATCACTTAATTCGCAAACTAGAGAAGAATGATCAGTACTCAGAGTATAACGATATATTACAAGATCAGCTGCAGAAAGGGGTAATCGAGATTGCACCAAGAGAACCAACTGGGAAAGAGTTCTACATCCCGCACAAGGGCGTAACAAGAAAGAATGCTGAGAGTACGAAGCTGCGCGTTGTATATGATGCATCGGCGAGAGAGAACGTAAATCAACCATCATTGAACGATTGCCTACACCCGGGACCACCCCTCCAGAATCGCTTATGGGATATCCTAGTCAAGTCGAGATTCTATCCAATCCTTCTTACGGGTGATTTGCAAAAAGCATTCCTTCAGATACGATTTAAAGAGCAGGAGAGAGATTGTTTGCGGTTTCACTGAAAAGAGCCAAGCAGTGATAACCTGATTGTTTATCGGTTTACGAGAGCGTTATTTGGTCTGACTTCATCGCCCTTCCTCCTCGCTGGGGTCCTGAACCACCACCTCGACCAATGGAAAGAGAATTACCCCGAAGTTGTTAAAGAAATTGATGATAATCTGTATGTGGATGACCTTATGATGGGCGGCGCGACAGTTCCAGAAACCAGAGAGAAGAAAACCATAGCTACAGAAGTTTTCGAAGATGCTGCATTTACAATTCACAAGTGGCACTCAAATGAATCAGAGTTGGAAGGCGACGAAGCTGACCCACGTGACGAGAATTGTGAGGGAACATGTGCTAAGCAGCAGTTGGGAGGAACCGAAAACCATGAAGGCAAGTTACTAGGACTACCCTGGAACCGAGAAAAGGACATACTCAGTGTTGAAATGAGCGCAGCAGACTGTTCATCAAAGAGATCAGTACTATCGGAACTTGCTAAAATTTACGACCCCTTGGGTTTAGTCTCCCCATCCACACTAGTCGCCAAGTTGCTTTATCGGGAAATCTGTGACGCAAAGATATCCTGGGATGAAACTTTACCTGAAAGCAATCTGAAAGTGTGGAAGAAATGCAAAGAGTTGCTACAAGGAAGTTTCGTCGTACCTCGTTCCCTCGCGCCACATCATCTCCAGATCTCAGAGATATGGCTTCACGCGTTTGGAGATGCAAGCTCAAAAGGAGTGTGTGCTGTAGTTTATGCGGTGGTCCACCAACAGGAAGAAGTAACTCAAGGTCTTGTGTGTGCTAAATCCCGCATAGCAAAACGGAACTTGACTATACCCCGCTTAGAACTGATAGCAGGTCATATGGCGGTCAATCTTGTTATCAACGTAAACGCAGCCCTAACCATCCCCCTTATCCACATTCACTGTTGGCTAGACTCAACCGTGGCGCTATATTGGATAAAAGGGAAAGGTGACTACCGACAATTCTTGACGAATCGGGTGCAGAAGATACGACAGCATGGCGAAGTGAATGGCATCATGTGCCTACGAGAGAGAATCCCGCTGATCTAGGAAGTAGGGGAGGCAACGTTAAGGACAACCAATTGTGGAAAGAAGGCCCAGCTTGGCAGAAGGATCCATCCAGATGGCCCCAAGACGTGACACTAGTTCCTGATGAGCAGACTAGAGCGGGAGAGAAGGTGAAAGTAAAGAACGAAATCGCAGCAGCGACCGTGACCCAGTCAGATGTCTTTGATGAGCTACTCGAAAAATACCATCTCCCGAAAGTATTGAGAATTCTCGGTTATGTTCGACGCTTTGTTTCAAACTGCAAACGCCAAACCGAAGAGAAAGTGACGGATCCAATTTCTACTGATGAGGTTGAACAGCAGGAACTCTGGTGGATTAAACGAGCACAGCAAGCAGTTCAAGATGATGCCCAATTTCGAACAGATCAACTGCGATTGAACTTGTTTCAGAACGATCAACAAATAGTTGAGTGTCGCGGGCGAATCAGTGGCGAATATCCAATCCATCTGCCCGATAGCCAACCCTTTACATTGAAAGTTGTTGAACAAGCCCACATTTCAACTCTACACGGTGGCGTTGTGCTCACTATGGCAAAGGTGCGTGCACAGTTTTGGGTGCCTCGGCTTCGTCAGTTAGTCAAACGGATTCGGAGGAAATGCAATGGCTGCAAACGATTTCAAGTGAAGGCGTATCATATACCACCTCCAGGGAAACTGCCGAAGACTCGTACCGAGGGTGACGTGCCTTTTCAAGTGATAGGCGTAGACTTCGCTGGGCCGATAAGATATCAACGCGGAAGAAAGACGGAAGGGAAAGCCTACTTGGCCATGTTCGCGTGCAGTCTGACCAGAGCGATTCATCTGGAACTGGTAACGTCATTGGAGACAGAGGAGTTTATCGCCTGTTTACAGAGATTCATCGCTAGACGTGGCAGACCCAAGGTAGTGTACTCGGATAATGGAGCTACCTTTCAGGCGACAGCTAAATGGTTACAGCGTGTGAGAAAGGACGAACAGTTTCACAGTCTCCTTGCAAGCTTTGGTATCAAATTGCGTTTTAATCTAAGTCGGGCCCCTTGGTGGGGGGGGGGGGGGCAATTCGAGAGACTTATAGGCTTGTTCAAGAATGCGTTCTACAAATCCGTCGGTAACGGAACTCTGAAATGGTCTGAGTTGGAGGATGTCATACTCGACGTAGAAGTAGCGTTAAATAACCGACCGCTAACATATCTCGAGGACGACATTGAATTACCAGCGCTGACACCTAACTCGTTGCTTCAGGTCAATGCAACGTACGTTCCTGAAGAAGAGGCACATCACATTGCCGAGAAAGATTTGAGAAAACGTGCAAGGTTCATTCAAAGATGCAAACAAGCAGTATGGGACAGATGGAGTCGTGAATATGTCCGTGGCCTGCGTGAACAACACCGCCAAACTGGAAACAAGAATGCTGTGCATCTGAAGATCGGAGAAGTCGTGATTGTTCGAGAAGAAAACAAACCAAGGAATACGTGGAGAACTGCTGTTGTGACAAGATTAATTACGGGAATGGACGGAGTTGTACGGGGAGCAGTGGTGAAAACAGGCAAGGGTACATTGGAGAGAGCAGTCCAACATTTATTTCCCCTTGAATTGTCTTGCGATTTAAACAACAACCCACAACAGAACCCTGATGCCACAGACTTCCACCCAAAACCAAAGAGAGCCGCTGCAGAAGCTGTGAGAGTTGGTATTAGAGAACTTGCCGAGAACGAACAGTCGGACTAGAACGATGTTCAAAGTTGATAGCAAAGTTGAAACTGATGACTACAATTACATTATTTAGTGTTTACATTTGCGTTATGAAGTCTGAGAGTGCATGTATGTCTCGGACAGAACATACATGGGGGAGTGTGTCGGAGACTTTACCTCAGTCTATAGTTAAAATAGTAATAGAACACGTGAACTCCACGCGCGATAGCGTGATATATAGTTTTCCTTTAAAACAGGAATTTTTGTTATTGTTGTGACACTTTTACTGCGAAACCATTGTAAAAATGTGATACGAGAGTGATTTGAGATATTATATATCAAAAATACAAATTGTGATTTGTTGGTGATACTTAAAGCGAAATTTCCAACAGGTTTAAACAACATTGATTGGGGTGGGGGGAGGGGGAAGGGAGCGGTATTGTGTGTAAAAAACTATAATTATCCACTTACAAGCTAAAACTACATGTGTCCCAACAACTTCTGAAAGTGATTGTCTGGGCCCCATATGCCATAACATCATTGTACATCTCAAAAGTACAGGGAATAGAATGCTCTGCGAACGAAGTATTTCAGCTCCATTTCGTTCACAGAATATCTAATGACATTATAGAACAATTAAGTTTCATTAAAATTCTCAAAGTCAATAATTAACAGAATACGAATATAATTTGTTATGTCATATTGCATTCATAATCACAAAGGTTTTATACGTTGTTTGTTTTTACAAATTTTGGCAGAGCACAAGTAGGTTATTTGAGAGGTTATAGTCCGTCAATAAAAATAGGTATCGCAAATGCTATACGCTAGATATGTCACACATACTGTTAATTTATAGCATAGTAATATAACATCCGGTTACTTTCGCATGCGGGTAAGGGTCAACTGCTAATTCGGGTACTCCGAAGGTAAAGAACGTTTAATTTTTATCACCAACAGTGAATGTGATATTTCACATCTCTCTAAGAGCAGAATTTGCAGATATAATTGTCGAAGCATGGGTACCAAGGAGCACTCAGTGGGTGGGAATTTCAGAGGCTACTCAGGTATGTTAATGACTGGGTCAAGTTTCACAGTGAGCATTAATTCATGAAAAATAAAAGAAAAATTATTTACAACGATTTTAAGATAAATTGACAGGGTTTTGGGCGTTAATGCTACTCAACATAATTTTAGAATTTTTTTAACCGACCCAAAATTTTTAAAAACGTGTCACGTGACCAGTTGTTGGTCTAAAAATAGCAACAAAAACATGGAACTTTTTCAACCGCTTTGCAGGGAATGATTGAGCGAATGAGCGGGTTCTCACTGAAATATTCAATTACAAATAGATTGCCAAGGAACTCTTCTAACACATTCAAACTTGTATCCGTGAGAATGTTGTGTTATTGTTGCGTAAAATGATCCAAAGTCAAAACACGCGTTTCTACTCGCATATTTTCGATAATTAAAGCTACTTCTAATCAAAATCTTTTCGGTTTACGGTATTTCTCAAGAACTTGGACATATTTTGAAGATAATTAGCGCCTAAGCCTTTAATGGTTGATAATAAAAACCTTCCCTGCAAAGCCATTGAAGTTTAACATTCGGCCGAGTAAATAAATTGTAAAAACCGCCAATTTTGTCGAGTGAGCCCTGATTCTACACACAGCGGTCTCCCGCATAGCCATGGCAACAAAAAACGCTCAAAATGGCGATGATAATGACTCGAAGAGCTTAAAGACATGTTTCCAGATATATTTTGCTTTGCGCAAGGTTAAAACCGGCAATTGTAATCCACAAAAATACACACATACCATTGTTTTTATATGCAAGTGAATGTCGAACGCACAGAACCATTTGTGATCAAATTATCTACACAACATCGCATTTTAATAATACCGCAACATGCTTTGATTTATATAATGCTACAAGTCTAATAG